GGTGCTTGCAAATAAGTAAGGAAATTACCGGGGTGATGTAATGATCCGGTGAGTGCTTGATCGTTGGCTGGTTGTAAGCCTATCACAGGGCTTAGGATCATTTGTCCATTAGATTATTTGCACTATTTTTAGTTATGTGATTTCTTGGCCGCCTCTCCTATCGGAATGTTGCAACATTGGTACTGAAGTTTTGTAATAATTGTGGCACAATTGATGGAATCCAGAAATTCCACCTGTTCCTTCTGAGTGCCAGCGCCTTTTAACGACACCTGTGGGCGTCTGTTGAATCTGCTAACCCTCTATACCCAACTAGAATAGGAAGAATCTAACCCGTGAGGGGAATTGATGTTCATTTTTTTTCACCAAATGACTTGATAGACCATTAATTTATGGACAGGATTCCATGGCATTTTCGATCCTCACGTCGTTACCACGACGGTTAATTGTGGATCAGGCACCGTTCAGGTCTTGGTAGCTCCTAATTGCTGCTGCGGTGTACCTTTTGGCCATATCCGTTTATCGGCCGCCTTCGAGTTTCCAGTTGGCTGTCTTAAACGAGGGCATCCTTCATGCTGTTGCCATCCGCATGATCAGTCTTCGTGCCATCGTCCCGACTATTAAACACTATTTATCCACTTTTTGGATTTAAAATGAGTGGGCGTATTGAAATTGCCTTTTTATTTTAATTGTCCTCTCTATACTGTGGATTGGATTTATTTGGGTTCAGCTCATTTCCAAGACCATTTCTATCCGCAGCGATGTGCGTGACTTAAAGTGGCTTTTGCTTCCTTCTCTAGCGTCGCTAGATGCATGTTTGAGGCATGGTTCTCTTCTCAAAACAATGGAGGTATCTCTTCTTGGTACGCTCCCCATCCATATAAAGAGATCACTAAATCACTTCCTCAATTTCAAAGTTGGCAGACCATTTTTGTCTTAAAATCTTGAAGGGTTTCGCCAAAACCCTGTCTTGTGCATAATCGACTGATCACCAACTTTTACCATGACTGTTGAAGGCCTGGCATTAGGATCTTGAATCACCCATTGCCTACGGAGGTGTCTACAACTCCAGAAGAATATTTCAACCTAAGTGCTCTTGCAGTTCCCTTTTTCATGCCCAGTTCCCAAACAGTCTAGGAAGTTTTGATATTCTTTAATAGGCTGTAAGGTCACCATAAGGTCAAGGCCATTGAAAATTTTATAAGTAGATAGGAATTGGCGACTGCACATGGACTTTACAACCACTTCGGCAGTCGGCAGTAAAGCGCTTTATTCTGACGCCTTTATCCCTCACACAGCAGCCTATAGAACAAAAATGCTTTCCAAAAATGTTAATTAATGCCTTTACGGACGATTTTTTTTACTGATTCCCTAACCTTTAACACCCTTGTTGTCTTTTTTCCAACGCCATTTACCCCTCACGGATTAGCTGGGGCCTCACCTTTACGTTCCATTTTTGCAAGGCAAAGGATACTGTGGCTAGAATTATCCGACTTCAGGAATATGATATTCTCCAAGTTGTTTTGAATTTACAAATATTTTCCAGTTGTCTGATAGCACAGTTTTTGGCAGTCATGAATATTCAGGAACCCGTAGAGTCGCTAGTTTTCTTTTTACTGGTAACGATCGCCGTACGGCATCAAGTCATCCAGAGCGTTCTTATTCCTGAATGCCACAAAAAAGGGAAATTAGAAAGGTGCTTGAAATATTATTTTTGTTGAAAAACCTAGGGACCTAGCAAGCTTTATTACTCGTGTGGGAGATACCTTTGCACGATATTCATGTGGTTTGGAGTAGGTGGCTGGAAAGGAATACAATTAAACCTAACAACGCAGTATGCGTTCAGTACCAGGACCTCGGCGAATAAATCAGCCACCACAATCCAGACATCTTATTTGTTCAAAGATTGCGTCAACCAGCACTGCCTTATAGGCTCATTTGAATGGTGCATAGAAACTGAAAAAATGAGGTCCAAATGTAAATATCTTTCTTCCAGATGGCGAGCGGTCCGCTGGTCTTCATCCACCCCGCGATCGAGGAAGGTTCCGCCAACTCACCTTCCTCCGGCCACAATAAATCGGAGGATGTGGTGCTGCGACGTGTGGGCGACGCCTACTTCTATTGGAATGCCCCCACTGCTCCCAACCAGACAAAACAGCAGGCCACTGCCTCCTCCACATGGGATCTCTCCGCCGATCACCTCCTCTCCACAGACTGGTTTAGCTCTCCTCGAGGTCACTCTGACCCGAATCTTCAGTACGTTCACACATTGGAGCGTCCCAATGCTGCTTATGAGGCAGTCACTAGATGCCTCAATTACCTTAACCTCAACTCCATCAGGTCGGTAAAACATTTATTCCTGACGTCAGTGATGTGTCTCGATGGGTCCAGAGTACCATGCCCTTTGAAGACCTACCCGCACTCCATTGCTACTGGCTCACAACGAGTGTATTTCAGATGCTAGTCACTGACTGCCTCCATAACACAATCGGCGTTTAAAAACCGTTAAAATCGAGGTAATCGTCAAAAGTGGAAGCGAATTCGACGAGCCTAGATTCAATCATCCACAGCACGTCTTCCTACTGCTTCCTCTAGCCTCAATATCGAAGATCCAAAAGAGATAGGAATTTTTTGTTCATTTTAACTGGGTTGGCTAACTACTACCGAGCCCTCTGAGTACGTAATTAGATGTGTAGGGGACTAAATAGAGCTTCAGCATAAATATAATTTAATACCATGGTGACTGGGAGCTGCGGAGGCTGGAAGAGCGCAAGCAATTAAACAACCAGCTCGAATGAATGTCCCTCTGGTGTGTTAATGCCCCTTTTTCAGCGACTACTTTTTTAATGCTCCATAGTGAAGCAATCTGAAAAATGGGTGTGCACCTAAGGCAAAGTAGGTGACGAAAATGTCGAACATGATATGTAATTAAGCATGCATTAACAACAAACGAATAGTTGCCTAAAGTTGGTATTCTTCATGATGGCGGTACACTGCATCGCTTTTGTGAGCTATTTCGGAACAATCATCCTTCTAAGGGTACCACATTCCTTCGGCTATCTCTGCGACACAGGGCTGGATGACTACAGCCATAAGTGGTTAAATGATAGGGGTATAAAAATAGCCGGAACCTGATGCAGTAGTTAAGCCCTGCCACAGCCTGTGCGCCTGCAAAGTGCCTTCCCCCCGACTCCTCGGACTAAATTTATATCAACCAATCAGCGCGTCATCATTCCCTGCGTCCACCATGAGCATGGGCAGCTGCCATGTATGCGCTCTGTTTTGTAGGAAAAATCCCCCGTCTTCCTTCTCCACGGAGCTCACCTTCAACAACTGTATGTGCGGCTCATCAGCCAATTCCTCCTCCGCCATTGGTCCAACCCCCTGTTCTCCCACTCCTCCCTCCGCAGGCACTACTACGATGACACCTAATGGCCACTGGGTCTTACCATGGCAACCAGGTCAACGAAATTCACATGGCCTCAACAATGAGGAGGACTTCTTCAACTCGCGCTCCTTCTTTGCCAACGTCGGTAGCATGGCAACCACTATTGTGAATAACCGTGGAGGATTTTTCCCCCCACCACCCGCACCAACGACGCTGCCGCCGTCCACCCTATTGACGACCAATTCCTTTGAAGGTGCACCGTTTCTGCGACAAGTCTCCGGCAAGACACAGAGTGGTGTGGAAGTACCCTCATCGATTACGCGTCTCCCTGGAGCCAATGGGTCCTCCTCTACCTCCACCTCTGCTGCGGGTAATCGAATAACCTCCACCAATTCCTTGCAAGCGGCGGTCTTTCCACGACGCGAAGGAACAATCTCGCCATTGAATCGTCGCTCCTCTGCAACAGAATGTGTGAACAAACCCGTTCGCCCTTCTTCCGACACCAATGTCATCTCTCTCACTGACAATCCTGGCGCCCCCATGCTGAAGACGGACAGCACTCTTTCACTGGACACAGATGCGCGTACGAAGGCTTGCTGCTTTTGCTGGTGCTGTTGCTGCTCCTGCTCATGGTGAGTTCAACCACACACTCAGTATGCGATTGGTTGTAGGCCCTATAGATGGAGGAGGTTTAATTCAACGGAGGAGGAGGGAACTAATCATTTAACCTGGGACTCAGTTACTGGATGGCCTCGGTACAGGAAGATTCGACATTTCATCTTACCCATCCCATTGCACTATGTTGGATGAAGGCATGACTTCGAAATTTAAAATGTTTGGGGTAGTGAAGGCGTCGATTAGAAGTCGAGGTCAGCTTAATGCACAGGAATGTCTACCTAGGCGGTTGGCTGGAAGCGGTGGGAGTCGGCTTGACCGGGATAGTCGTAGACGAATGGTGGTCTGCCTGACTGTGGCTAAGGCTCCCATCGTCGTATTCCTCTGTGGCTACAGTCCGCCGTAGACATGAACAGGAATTTACAAATTTGGAATGAATGTCACCACTGTAAAGAGCCTCGGTTCATCATACATCACACAGCATTGGAAGGCACAGATGCGCATAAAACTCCCACAGTAACATTCCGTTTATGTT